CCCATACTTAAGGTTGACAATAAATCAGCAATAGCATTGGCAAGAAATCCTGTTTTCCATGAGAGGGGCAAGCACATTGATACCAAATTTCATTTCATTCGAGAATGTGTTGAACATGACATAGTAGAGCTTAAGCATACAAAAGGAGATGAACAACTGGCAGACAAAAGTTTGCTGAGTTGCGAGAAAAAATAGGAATGAAGGTCATTGGAGAAGCAAAACAAGTTTAAGGGGGAGAATGTGAATGTTAAAGCTTGCTTTGTTTATTTAAATTATTCTGTTAGTTATTTCCTTTATTTTAGGGAGTCATTTATTTGTTTTGAGTCATTTTGTACGTGTGCGTGTGAAGTAACCCATGACTCCACGCAGACACTAATGTAAGAGTGGGTTATGGGAGTTGGTTATTCTTCGTGTAAGGGTTGGTGTGCGTATGGGGTTTTTTGTATCTGGCTTTAGACTGGATTTTTCCCCACGAATAAAAGAAAAGCTTGATTGATGCAGATCATCTTCTCTTCATTTGTTTCCACTAATATACTACCAGATAGTTGTTAAATACTGAACATCTCATTGTGTTTATCTAACAGTCTTTGCGTGGAGATTTTTATCCCCGCTAGTCTCACTAATCAGGCGTAACCGTTCTGTTAAGCTTTAATCAGTGGAAGTGTGATAGGGTGTGTAAGTTGGAATTGTCGTGGGTTGGGAAACCTTGCAACGGTTCAAGTGTTGGAGGATATTGTCAAAACGCACCGCCCAGACATTGTTTTTCTTATGGAGATTTTAACTCTTCATGATCGGATAGAGGAGGTATGTAGGAAGGTGGGTTTTGATGCTGCATTTTCGGTGGATTGTGAAGGCCATAACGGCGGCCTGTCGGTGTTTTGGAGAGGGAGTATAGATGTGCAGGTCAAATGCTTTGCTAAAAATTACTAGTACATAGATATGCACGTGAAGACATCTCCAAGAGCACATGCATGGAGGCTGGCGAGTTTTTACGGATTCCCAGAGAGAAGTAATAAAAGAACCTCTTGGGACATGCTCATATCATTGGCAGATAAGTCTGATTTGCCATTGATTGTTATGGGTGAGTTTAATGATATAATGTATGAGTTTGAAAAAGGGCCTTTTTATTCCAATATTACTAAAATGAATGAAAATGATAAAAAAGTGGCTTGTTTTAAATTTTTGGGAAAACTGTCAAATAAGTCCTTGTACTAAATTAAAAAAGTCAATTGAATCCTTCTACAATTAAATCAATCAATTAAGTCCCTCAACTATAAGAGCATCTTCAATGGTACAATGTGCACGGTGCACACGTGGCATGAGAGATGACCACATAAATATTGGTAAATAAATTATTTCTCTCCTTATTTAAATGATTTTATACATTTTTGGTAAGTTTTTGTCCACAATGTCAAGGAGACCGTCTAATGTTGACATTGTTGTTGACATTGCAGGGAAAAACTTACCAAAATTGTATAAAATCATTCAAATAAGGAGAGAAATAATTTATTTGCTAATAATTATGTGACTATCACTCATGCCACATGTGCACCGTGGACATTATAGCATTGGAGATGCTCTAAAAAAAACACCCAATTTGAATGTTTAACCGGTTGGTTTTGAATTGCACCGGTAATAGATGACTTGGGGCATTTTTTTCTTTTTCCTTTTTTGTTCCTTCTTAGTTTTTTCCCCTGCTTTCTTTCTTTCTTTTCCCTCCACCCGTACCTCTGCAAGACTGCAATTCTTTCTCCTTTCTTTAATTCTTTCTTTCTCGATTCTCTCTCCTTGACTTCTTTCTTCTATCAAGCAACCAACAACCAAACCAAGAACTCTTTTTTCCTCCTTTCTTCTACAAACCCACCGAAGTACCCAACTCACAACACCAATCATTATGTTGGATGACGAACTCTAGCAGCGGATTAACATGGAGATAAACTTGCCGGTAAAATTGCCGGTAAATTCGCGGAAGAACTTCAACAACCTCCGGCGGACATCGAAATAGCCACCACGCAGACGCCGACTAGATTTTGCAGCAGAGGAGAGGGCAGATGGATTGAGAAGCAGAATACCCAAGAGCGGATTGTGCTGGCCGGAAAAGATGATATGCGGCAACAGCCCAAGCTGTCGCTTGAATCACTTGTCCTCCTCTGTATCGCTGAACTTGTGAAAATGAAGAATGAAAAACTTCTTTTGATTGGATGAGGTGGAAGAAAGAAGGGTCAAGATTCAAGAAAGAAAGAAAGAGCAAATAAAGAAAAAGAAAAGGATGTTGCAGTTGGGGGTTGACGGGAGAAGACAGTCATGCGAAAGAGAAGGGGAAAAAGACAAAGAAATAAGGAAAAAATGAAATGAAAAGTTTGCCACGTGTGCAAGTTAACTGGGTGACCGGTTGTTTTCCGGTTAAAAGATCCAATTGATTGTTTTTTACAAGTTGGAGGATGTGATTAGTTGTTTTTGATGTAAGAGGACTCAATTAACTTTTTTGATATAGTAGGAGAACCTATTTGATAGTTTTCCCTAAATTTTTCTAAAAATGTGACTAAAAGTCATTTATTCCTTTTATTTAATCATACATTTATTATTTCAATATTCCTTTTATTATTTCAATATTCCTTTTATTATTTCAATATTCCTTTTATTCATTTATTCCATTTATTACCAGCACCTCTATGGCTGCCGACCCAGCACCACCGCCGCCACCACCACCTTCGCCGCCGCCGCAGTGACTTCGGCCAAAGTGACTCCGACCAAAGTGACTCCGACCAAAGTGACTCCGGTCAAAGTGACTTCGGTCAAAGTGACTCTGGCCAATATGACTCGGCTCCACTCCGTCGCCATAGTGACTCCGACCACATTGACTGGAGTCATTGTGACTGATCCGCCCACCGACCACAATAACTATCCACCCACCGGCCACAATGACTCCGATCACTGTGACTGTCACCCCACCAGTCACAGTTACTCAGCCGCCGCCATGATGCCGCCACCCCGGCTGTCGCCACCCTAGCTCAACTCCCTACCCCCCAGCCCCAACCCCTCCCAGCCACCAGACCTCCCCAACCCAACCGCTCCGGCCACCACTCCGGCCAGCCACCGCACTCCAGCCCCACCGAACCTTAGGTCCAGTACACCCCAGCCCCACCACACACTGCCCCAACCCTGCACAATGGTTGCACCATCCCCAATCCTCCATGACAGCCCCCTGAAGTGAAAAGCTTACTAAACTTTTGCAAAAAAATGTTCCCAATTTCAGCCTGATTAGTCACCCCTTTAATAAAGTTTTTCTTCCTCTGCTTCACAGAATTATGAAAATATTTCGTATTTGCATCTCCCATCTCTAGCCATAATTCTTTCGCTCGCTGCTTCCAGAAGTCGTTTTGCTTCATCATCAATGCCATATATTTTGCTTTTGCCTGTGTAAAACAAGCAATGCTTGCCGGATCCGACGCGCCTCTAAGCCTTCCCATCCGCCTTTTGGGACCACCAATCTGGCTCTGAAAACCCCATCTGTATCTACTCCCCCACATGCCCAATTCTACACCGCAGAACCACAAACATTCCTTCAATTCTTGCCCTCTACTTTAATCCCAGACTTGCTCAACAATCTCACTACGGTCCTTCTCTCTCAACCAATGATTTTCAAATTTAAAAGCCCCGAGACCCTTTTTTTTATCTATTACTCTCATCCTTAATAAAAAGAGTCATATGGTCACTTGCTCCCCCATTAACTGAAGTCACCCAAGTCTTCCCAAACAAATCCTGACATCCCTCTGACACCAGTATACGGTCAAGCTTTACTTCTACCCAGTTTACCGTACCCATGCCTCTTTCCCACGTAAAATGGTGGCCATCAAAAGGAAAACTCGACAGGCCACTCTCCCTTACAGCCGTACGGAAACCTGACACTAGCCATTGTGGTTGACAGTGCACAGCTTTTTTCAAGAAATAGTTCCATCTATATTACTATTAGAGTTTTCATTTCAAAAAAAATGACAACTTTTACAATTTCCAAAAATATGACCTCATTAAAACAATACACTCCAGCCTATTTCCGTCTTCCCATCTTCCCCCAACGACATCGTCCCATCTTCTTCGCTCCCGTCGAAGCGTCACCGAACCAAGAGGCGAAGCATCCAGCGAACTCGGAACTAGAGGCAAAGGGCTAATTCTTAAGAACACCCATGAATTTAGGCACACATTCAAGGGCACAAACTAGTGAGTATTTGAATTGTTTTCTTTTGATTTGATTTCCCAAATGATGAAGATATGCTCTCTCCTTTTCTATGTATGAATGTGGAGATATTTATACATGTGATCTGTTGTATCCTGTTAAAAATAGTTTTGAGGAAAATTGCAAATAACTACCTCAACCGCTTTAGACTTGAGTCTAGAACCACAAAGTTGGTCTACTGAGGGTTGTACTACGAGTTCTACTACCGCAAACACTTTGAGATAAAACTTCATCTTAAGGATCATTGTGTAGTTTACACGTTAAATCTTTGCACGCAAAATAAATTACATTATTTGGCTAAATATGTAATTTATATTTAATTTGCACGCAAAAGTGCTGCAGTGCTTTAGAAAAAGCATGCACATTATTTTACCACCCTCCCCTTAACGTCCAAAATGTGTAAACATTTGGCGTCCCTACACTTCACATGCAAAGTAATTATTTTACATCCTACTAAACGCTCTTCTATACATACAAGCTAAGTGTGCACTGCACACCTAATATCTTGTATGAGATCATACTACCTATATCCCAATTTGGTTTGCAAAGTTTGAGTGACACAAAAATTTAAAAATAATAATGAAAGAAGCTTGCTTTGGACTATGGTGTCCATCTTTCACAAAGTAGATATCTTTATGTTAATGAGAAAAAGTAAAATTAAGGACAAGTTTGTATTACTTTATACATATAGACATATCTAAAATCAAAAGTGGAACATTATTTTGAAACAACTAAAATAGAAAATTTATATATCATTTTGGGACAGAAAGAGTAGTTCTTATACTTTTTGACACATATCATTTCAGATTACATAAAATGATCGAGTGACACTAAAATAGTAAAATCACCAATAAAGGGTAGTTTTATTTTTGTCTCAAATAAGTACATAGTAAGTCTCATTTTTGTTCAATCATCAAATGTCAAAGCTTGAGTCTTATTTTTGACGTAATTATTATAGGTAATGCCGAATTACCTTATTATCAAATGTCAAAGTTTGGATCTGATTCTCAAAACTGATTCTACTCTTTCATGGAGCAGAAGCAGAAGCTGTAGTGTTTGAGTGAAATTCCAGAAGCTGGTGCTCTAATTTACTCTCATAATCAGTTCTTTTAGAAGCTGGGTGTACCAGCTTCTGCTGGGGTACCAGCTTCTGCTGGGGTACCAGCTTCTGCTGGGTATACTGATGAACAGAGTAAATCGCCATGGATATTGTGCACCGATCAAGAAATCCCGAAAAGTTATTAGACTGCAGTCGATGACAATGGATTATAATATAGTAATCCAAAAAAGCCAACGCAAATTTCTATTTCAGGGTTTCCTGTGACCCCCATATCTCCGCTCTGCCAACTACGTGTTCTTCATGCAAGATCGCAGATTCATTCATAGCACTAAAATTGGTTGTCGTTTCCACGAATTTTCAATTTCAACCCCAGTAAATTCTTCTATATAACCACGTAAAGCATTCCCACACTTCCCTCAGTCTACTCACCGTCTCCTTCGAATTTCTGACACTTTTCTTCGTTGTAAAAATGGGGTCTTTGAAGGGTAAGTTGGACGTGGAGGAGCAGAGCAGCGCCGCCTGCCGGACAGCTCACAGCTTGTCTTCCTCCATTGTCAGGAAGAAATCCGACCCGGAGCTTGTTTCTCGGATCCGGTTTCGGGTCATCCGGCGGGTTCTCGCAAATGTTCAGCAGGTGATTCTTGGAACCAAGCTCTGTGTGCTTTTTCCGGCCATCCCTCTGGCCATGGTCGCTCAGCTCTACAATTTCAGAAGGGTAAGTCAACTTCCCCACAGAAATCGCACTTTTCTTATGCCTTAAAATTTGTCAAAGATTATACTGAGCAAATTTCTCACAAACTTTAAAACTTTTCCGAAGTACGATAGTATAAACTAGTACATAATTTAGCTAATTTTAAATTTGATATTTTCGAAATCATATATAATGGGATGCAAAAGAAAAATAAACACAATCTAAATATAGAGTTCGTTTGATAATACTCATAGTAAAATTAACAAAATCAGCTTATTTTACTGAAATTGATTAAATTCGGGTTGAATCACTTGAATGGGCTGAATAGGCAGAATCTCTCAAATCATGAAAACAATTAAAAAATATTTCACTTGTAAAATAAAGAGACAATTATATGGAAAATATTCAAAATGTTCTTTTACATAAGCATCTCAACTAAACACCATTGTGGTGAACCCAATTTTAAAGAATTGAGAGAGAAGCTTCTTAATTAATCTCATGTCTTCTAAATTATTTTATTATGCACCTCAATTTTTTTCATATTCCTCATTGAACTTGGTATGAAATGTGGAGTATTTACTGTTAACTTTTAACAGTAAGATATTACATTTGACTCATTATTTCATTACATTGAAAATGTAAGAAATGGAGTGTTTTTACATTTTACTCATTATTTCGTCACATTGAAAAATGATTTTTAATTGTTATGAACGTCTATATTACTTTAATGAGCATTTCAAAATAATACTTTTCTAATATTTCTCATTCAACTTGGTATGAAATACATATTTTTAAATTTTAATAGTGAGTTAGGTTCTTACATTTAACTCAATTTGGTACTCCGTAGTAAAAATAAAGAAATGAAACAATCCAACATATTGACTTTTGACTAGACTAAACGTATTAACTTGTGAACACACATATGCATGTATGATATCAACTTTCAACCTTATTAAATACTACATAATAAAGATAAGCTACTTGATTATAAGTATTCTCTTTATATGATTCTATATATGAATGTCTAATAGTACTAATTTCGCTTTTAATTTCAAAATTTTGGTGGTTATAATTTTCATCATTGTATTAATAATTAAGAAAGCATTATACGAAGATGTAGAAAAATACGAAGTATTAACACAGTTTCAAATCTATAGCTTAAAATTTTAATCATGATCTCAACATTGAGTTTAGAAGAATAAAATATACGGAGTAACATTTTAGGAAATAGGACACAATTAATACTTTTTTATATAAATAAATAATTTTGAAGACAAAATAAATAGCAATTTGGCTGATTTATCTATATTTTTTTAAGGAACTGATTTATCTGTTAAGTGGGAAAAACAAAGATACTTTATTTCTTCAATAAAATGTAATAAAAAAAATAAGAAGTATAACAATAATCAAAAAAATTATACGTGCTTATAAAAGTACTTTATAAAAAGTACTTTGTATGATTGATTATTTAATAAGTGTGATTCCAATTAATGAATTTCATAATTATTAAATAGGTTTTGAAAAAGTTTCCAAATAAGGTGGATTTTTATCATAAAGTCTTTTGTTTCCATATCAATATGCAATCAAAAATAGAATCTAATAAAATAAAAAAAGATACGGAATATTAAAAAAATTAAATGATGGATGACATGGCATGATTAGGTGGCGCTTTGTATGCTCTTAAAAAGTTCCTCTTTTATATATATATATTGATTAGCAGTTAATATTTTTTCTATTTTGTAATAATTTGATCAACACACTGTTTTTACTCCCGGGTCAAACTTTGACAAAGTTTTAAGATATGGTACTTGTCTGTCAAACTTTGACTAAGTTTTCAGTATAGGAGTAGAAAAAACAACTTTTTTCCTTTAAAAAAAACAACTTTTTTGTTTTTATTAATGTACGTAGTATTTTTCATTTATTTAAATACCGTAGTATTAATTATTTGTTTCTTAGCCATGGATTTTTGCACTGAGTTTGCTGGGGCTAGCACCTCTTGCTGAAAGAGTCTGCTTCTTGACAGAGTAAGTGTTGATACATATTGTCCAAAAAAATTATTTAGCCGTGGAAAAATTTCTGGTCTGGCACAATATTGTTCGTGTCTATCATTCATATTTTCCATTTTTTGTGAATGATATCGCTTAGGAGTGGCATTTTTGTTTGGTAATATTTTTTTCAAACCTTATAAAACCAAGCAGTTTAAACTGATTCAAAGTTTACTAAATTCTTATTATATTTTAAAATTTTCTAAATCCAAACCTAATTAAAACGAATCAAACCTGAAATATAGTTGGTGTTTAACCTAGTACGGAGTAATTGTTTTCCCAACTCATTTCGAACCAAACCAAAAAATCAAATCAAAACTGAAATGCTCACTCTTAATATTGAGGACTTCTTGTGGCTTTTGGTCCTTTTTAAGATTAAGCCATTCTGCACACAAGTGATGGAAAAGAACCAAAAATGTAAAAAACTAAAGTAGAAAATCAAGTCAAACTATAGTGTGCACCTTTGGCTAATATAGTTATATATGAGTCAAAAGTGGTAAATTTAATTTTCTTTAATCATCAAACACTCCTTGAATTAACTTCATTTTTCTTGTCTAATGTGGAAAGGCAAATTGCAAACTTCATTGGACCAACGGGTAAGTATAAAATAACCCAAAATCTGATCTTTTTAGTTATTAATATTAACAATACAATTTTTGAGAAAGAAAAATTTTGTGCAGTGGGAGGGCTGCTAAATGCAACATGTGGGAATGCAACAGAGCTGATAATAGCATTGCTTGCTCTTCACCAGAGAAAGATTCACGTGCTTAAATACTCCCTCTTAGGCTCCATCCTATCCAACCTTCTCCTTGTTCTTGGGAGCTCTCTTTTATGTGGAGGGTTGACCAATATAAAAAAGGAGCAAAGATTTGACCGAGTAAGTTTCTCTATCTGAAATGATGACCATAAAGAATGATCTCATTTTGAATAATTATTGTGAAGATTTGTTTGGGGATGGGATTGGCAGAAACAAGCAGATGTGAACATGTATATGTTGTTGCTGGGATTGTTGTGTCTCGTTTTGCCGCTGATGTTTAGATATTCTTTTGAGCCGTCGGATTATACAGATAGTTCAGTCTTGGGGCTGTCTAGAGCAGGCAGCATTTTCATGCTTGGGACTTATGTTGCTTACCTCTTCTTCCAACTCAAAACTCACAAACAGCTGTTTGATTCTTCTTCGGAGGTAATCTTTAATGATAGATCAAACTTATATACTAGGTCTCCTCTTGATAAGTAGGAGCAGGGGAGTAGTATTTTTTTCTGTTATTGATGTTGTTTTGGATTTTCTTGAAGTAATCACCAATGTACAATTTAATTAAAATTACAAATAAAAATGAGGCTTTTAATGCGCTATAACATCATATTTTTTTTAGAGACTAATGTTTATGATTTTTCCATTTGCAATGGAGCCAAAGATTCATTATTTTTTGGCTTGAGAATATGATGGAATAAAGCAAAATGGCTCACTAAACTGTCTGCGCTTCTTTGTTATGAAGTAGCAGTCAGCCCAGGTAATTTTGGACGCGATTTTCACTATGGGTCATCCGGAAACAGTCTCTCTGTGCTTCAGTACATAGGTAAGACTGCGTACATCCAACCCCCCTACCCCACCGTAGGTGGGAGCCTTTGCGGCACTGGGGTAAATGAAAATGAAATGAAAATGAAATGACTAATGTTTATGATGATATTCGTATTCTTTTTTTATTGTGCAATGACCATGATAATATTTTCACATATTGGAGAGTCCCATGTAAGTGATATTTTTGTCTATTAGCTTTGTTTTTGTCTATTGGAGTGGGGAATTACATATTGAAATCTACTTTTAAACATCCGATCCTCCATGTCCCATTTGTAGGTCAGATTTTCAACTATATATTACATATGATTTATATGAAGGAGAGATACGGCACACCTGTTAAGATGTTTCTAGTTTCTGTGTGACTGAGAGGTCACGGGTCTTAAGTCTTGGGAGCGGTCTCTGATAGAGCTAATCCAGGAATTGTAGAAATTTACAGAAAAGAAAGAGTAGAATTCAAGAGGGAAAATGGAAACTAATTATCCAACCTTTTAGCGGTCTTCTTACATTAGTCCCATTTTTTTGTTATTCATGAATAATCCAACCTTTTCCAACCTTTGCACCTCATTTTCATTCACTGGTCCCTGACCGGTTGATGACCTGCTATTCAAGATTATTTTCTTATCTTTGCAAACCATTATACCATAAATCTCGCCTTTCACAAAGATCATATTTTGCAAAGATAAGAAAATAACTTGGAATAGCAGGTCATTAACCGGTGAAGGACCAGCGAATGAAGATGGGGTGTAAAGGTTGGATTATTCTTGAATAACGAAAAGGTGGGACTATTGTAAGAAGACTGCTAAAAGGTTGGATTATTAGTTTCCGTTTTTCCATTCAAGAAACAAGATCCAACTTCATTAATGGTGGAAACCATATACAACGAAGTCCCAAAGAAAAGAGATAACAGTTCTCTAATCTCGTAGTCCCAAGACCAAAGTCTAAACAGCCTACTTTCCCCTTCCCAAGCTTATTCTATTTATAACCTTCCATCCCCAACCGAAGGTAGTTACTATTTATTAACAGAAAGTAACTATTAACAAACTATTCTATTTATTTCTTCTATTCTTCTAATTAAAAGTTGTCGTATCCCTCTCAATACTCCCCTCCTAAACATCCACCTTGATCAAGGTGGGTGATTGGAAACGACCAAGATCTTTCGCTTTCTCTTCATCCTGTTGCTTCTACCTTCCCAATATCTCACTGGTTTCTGAGCAAAGAGCTTCAATACTTGATCTTTACAACTCACAGGTGTTTCTGCAGCATATATTATTTCTGTAGAGGTTGCATTTTCTTCCTTAGTCTTCAGGCCTTCAATAGCCACAAATATTTTTATGCTTTACTGAGGTGTATCACCTACACCAATAGCAGGATCTATGTTCATGCCCTGAACCTCTTTGCCAGTGTGATGCAACACCGAAACCGAGCAACATCGTGTACCTCTTGTACCTGAGAGTTCAGAGTCAACTCCTTCAGCACCAAGTGCCTCAGTCCTAATTCTGTGGATCCCCATTCGGAGTACAGCTTCATATCCTTCTATCACCGTCATTTCATTAATTGCTCCATTTGCAACAGTAATGAAGTATGGCAGCCAATCCCCATTCTCATTAGTCACTGCAAAGTATTTCTGGTGCTTCTACATGTCCATTATCAGTAATTCTTTTGGAGGCTTTAGGAAGGTGTCCTTAACTTTTCCAAGTACCGGCACAGGTGCTTCAACAAGATTTACAACTTCGTTAAGTAAACCAGTCTGCACAATAGTAAAGCTATTTACACTCTTTGCAATATCATGGACTGCTCCAATATAAACTTTTTACTTTGATCAACATCAACAAAATTCCCAGATGGAGTGATACGTAGACCATTTGATACATATCCATTGAAGAGGGTGTTACTAGTGAGGAAACAGGTAATTGCTCCAGTTCTCTTTGCTCCTAAAAAATAATCAACACGATCCTCTTGACTTCTTGAGCCTCTGGAGTCTGGACAATATCTCCTTTTACCAGTGTATGAATTTTCTGAAAACAATTCTCTTGGATGTCTAGGTTCTTGACTTTTGATCAGAACAGCTTTATCATCTGAAATGTTCTTGATTTTAAGTGCTCCCATTTCATAAGCGATTAAGACTCTACTTCCAAAGGAACATGCGTGGATAAACATAATCTGGCCATTGTATAACCTGTCTTTTTCCTGCACAATAGTAAAGCTATTTACTTCGTTAAGTTCCTTGTTGTCATAGGTGTGTGTATCTTCCCTGGACGGTTGCTCCTGAATAACCAACTCCTGCTGCGAATCTGGAGACTTGGATTTAGATTGCGAAAGAGGTTCTTCTCTTCGCGTCGAAGAAGTTACTTGCGAACTCAGATAATCGACTTGAGACGAAGCAGGCAAAAAGTGAGAATCTATTTGCGAAGATGAGGACTCTCTTCTCAATAGCGTTTTTCTTGGACATGAACAGATAGCCGGTGAGGAAGTCTTTCGCGATTGGAAATTAGAAGAAACACTTCGCGACTGCGAACTAGGAGAAACAGTGCGCGACTCCATTTGCGAACTTGTGAGCGAAGGGGATGGATTTAGTTTGTCAGATAGCGGAAGATGCCTAATATTCTTCGATCGTTCTCCAGTTTCTCTGCGAAGCCTATGCTCTTCCGATCTCTCTGAAATTTCTGAGTGTCGCGTGTGTTGATGATGAGAATTGCGATGCGACCTATGCGAAGAGTGCGATCTGCTCTTCGATCGATTCTGGAGTCTGTTTTGTATATCTGCGATGCTAGCTTGTATTGCGACCATCGTCGCTATATTAGTTTGCATCTTCCGCAGATTTATTTCCATTCTCGCTTGCATCTCCCGCTGACTTCTTTCTACTTCCTTCATACGTCCTTCCATTTTAGCACGCGTTAAAGTCATCCAGTGATCAACGTGCTCTGATACCACTGATAGAGCTAATCCAGGAATTGTAGAAATTTACAGAAAAGAAAGAGTACAATTCAAGAAACAAGATCCAACTTCATTAATGGTGGAAACCATATACAATGAAGTCCCAAAGAAAAGAGGTAACAGTTCTCTAATCTCCCAATCTCCCAGTCCCAAGACCAAAGTCTAAACAACCTACTTTCCCCTTCCCAAGCTTATTCTATTTATAACCTTCCAGCCCCAACCGAAGGCAGTTACTATTTATTAACAGAAAGTAACTATTAACAAACTATTCTATTTATTTCTTCTATTCTTCTATTTAAAAGTAGTCGTATCCCTATCAGTCTCATCTAAAAGTATTCATAACACCCTTACGGTGGGACCCTCTTTCCCAGAATCCTCGCGGGATGCCTTCGTGCTATGGGCTGCCCTTTTTTATCGTAGGAGTTATAAATTTAGGTTTATTATCATTCTCAAATTTGGGTTTGTGAACTTTTTGAACACACACACACACACATATTATTGGACCATTGTTAATTAATTAATTAGTTGTAGCCTTGAAGATTTAAAAACTATTTACTTTGACTTGTTTCAGTCACAGACACATTAGGCTAGATAAAGATAGTAATAAAGACATAAGACTAGATTAAGATAGTAATAGAATAAACACCAGTTCAGATTATATAGTAAAATAAATAGATACCAACTCTGACCAGACTTAGACAGGAGTGATTAGCCTTAAACATAGCGAACTGTTTAAACTAGTTGAGACATTCAAGTAAGTTTCATTGTTATTGGTCAAGTTCAGACCTATTGAACATTTCCCAATTACTATTGGATTATAAGATCTGAGATAGATTTATTTATTCGACTAATTATATTGGTGGTAAATGATAGGAGGAGGAAGATAATGTGTCCGAAGAAGAGGGTGTGATTGGAATGTGGAGTGCATTTGCTTGGTTGATTGGTATGACAGTCACCATTGCATTACTATCTGAGTATGTTGTTGGCACCATTGAGGTAACATACTTGAAGCCTTCTTTTATGCTTCTACTTTGATTAAGTGTATATCTGCTCTAATTAATTAATTTTTATTATTATTAAAGTGTGCTAATAATAATAAAAACACAAGAGGTAAGGCTGCGTACATCCGACCCCCTTACCCGACCGTAGGTGGGAGCCTTTGCGGAACTAGGTTAAAGTTGTTGTTTGTTGTAGGATTACTAAAGTGTGCTAATGTAATGAATCAAAGAATGCACTCAGTTTCTTAAAATATCCCTCTAACAATGAAACTGGGACCTTCAAGACGAGCATCTAGAGAAAGGTCCCACCATAGGGTATATAAGGGCAAGCCGAGGCCATTTCCGATACTTGAATCCCACACCTTAACCGGCATGACATTGCTCAAATCCTTATAAATCACAATATCTTTTTTCTTGAAATTATCAAATCCTTTCTTGAAACTTGAAAATGAAGCACATTTTAGAAAAACCCTTAGTAATTAGTTAATTAATAGAATGATTATATGTGCTAAATCAGGATGCCTCAGATACGTGGGGACTATCAGTGAGTTTTATCAGCTTAATTTTGCTACCCATAGTTGGAAATGCAGCAGAACATGCTGGCTCCATCATCTTTGCTTTCAAGAATAAGTTGGTATGTCAAAGTCCGACCAATATAACTTTTTCATTATACCCTTATTCTTGATAATAAAGTTACCTATGCATTTATGTAAGAGTGAAATAATTTCATAGGCCATGTTAGTAAATACTTGTACTTTTGATGTTATTTTGCTTAGTTTATATAAAAAAATCCTGCATGGTTATTAAACTTGTGTCATCTATAAACATGAAGTAAAACACAACTCTGCATTATCATTCTAATTTAATGTCAGAGTTTGGTTCTGTATTCGTTTCAGGATATCTCTTTGGGAGTTTCCCTTGGATCTGCTTCTCAAATTTTGATGTTCGTGGTATGGACTTTAAGAAAATCATTTCACATCTTTTTAAATTTTTATATCTCTGTTTTTCCAAACATTTTCTGACGATGAAATGAGGGGGTCTGGTTCTCAGGTTCCATCGTGTGTTGTAGTGGGGTGGATAATGGAGGTGAAAATGGACCTTGATTTCAGTCTTCTCGAGACCGGATCTCTTGTTTTCTCCATCCTTCTAACGGCATTCACTTTGCAGGTCCATCTCTATCTAGCTTCCTCTTGAAATGTGATCGTTATGTTCTTCCGCGTAAATAGGAATAATTACTGCAATATTTGGAAATACTAATAATTATGAAATTAATACCGCCATAAGTAATGACAAAACAAAATATGATAGTATTATTTCAAGATGACCTTCACTCCTATTATCACAAACTTGAGTAGAGTAATGATTTGGGAAATGTAAATGCATATGCAGGATGGAACCTCACACTACATGAAAGGACTGATTCTTTGTGTGTCCTACGTGATCATTGCCTCTTGCTTCTTCCTTCATAAACTCCCCATCTGTAAGTCCAGATTTTGTATAAGAGCAAGCTTACCAATGATTATGGTTCATTACCCATTAGTCTTTTTATGTTGGGCCTATTTCAACCCAAACTTACTTAAGTCCATATGAAAAATAATGAAGAATGATATTGAATATGAGGAAATGGTCTTTAATTTGAGTCAGAAGGTCCCTATATACTGAAATAGGAGTATTTAATTTTTTATACCGAATTAGGAGTACTTTATATGTTATACCTCTTCTACCCCTAATGTTGAATCGTGAATTCTGACCACATATGAGCGAGACTAGGCCTTTATTTTTTTAGTCAATGGGTCGGGCCTAGACCCGGAACCGATTTGGATCCTGCACTTTATTTGTGGGTATGAGTCTAAATTTACAACTGTTTACCAGACTCGGATTCGAACCCGTTACATAAGAGAGAAATGAGTCGGATATGGATTTTTAAGTTTCGACCTGTTTTGGACCCGACCCGTGTAAACATAAAATAGGTAAAATATCAAAATATTTTAATAATGGGTTTGCCCCCACTACTAATGGGTTTATCCCTAATGGGTTTATTGCTTTAGTTCTACACAAATTTACCAGTTCACATTCACATATACATAGTAATCAATAATACTACCCTAGATCCTCTATTTATAATCTCTTTCAATGATTCCAATATGAGCATTTTTTTTGCAATGTACTGCGCATAATATTTTTTTTCTCACAATTTTTATGTGTAGGATCCACATATTTTCTAATTTACTTTTTATTTTATTTTTATATGTAACATTTAACCCGCCTTTTATCTAATTTTCCTCCCATTTGATGCTTGTTGGGAGGTGCCCATACGAGTTTGACCCTGAAATTAATCGAAAACTCACTCATAATGTCTATATCTTAAGATAACTTAGGGGCTATTTACATTCGACTTAATAGATTTGATGAGAACAACGACTTAATCATTCATCAATTAATGACTTTTTATTTGGACTGAAATTTTTTGGTCTAATTTTTTGGTTTTAAGTATGATCTGGTGTTACATACCGTTGTTGGTGGCATTTTGCATGTTAAGTCTCAATTTCCGGGTTCATTCGGTTGGAATGGCGCGGTTTCTGTTGTACGTAGTGGGGCAATGGTCCTCAACGACTTGGCATGAGTAGATGCGCTTCCGCAAATTCCTTTAAATTTCAACCTTGAGATCATCCCCCCCCCGAAATCCAAAGGCTTTGATTTCTCATAGGGTGCCGACGAAGTCCTAAAAGAAACATTGGTAAAAATCACATTGCGTTAACATTTGAAGGAACCATCGCAACGCTTTGTTTTAATTAAACAGTCGGATTCTTCCTGTCCTACCAGTGGCCTACCATGGTGGTGACGGGTGACGGAGAATTAGGGTTTGATTTCGGAGAGGGAGTCCTACCAGTGGCCTACCATGGTGGTGACGGGTGACGGAGAATTAGGGTTTGATTTCGGAGAGGGAGCCCTGCCGCACCAAGAGGCTTTGTCTAAGAGTCCAAGAGTCAGATTGTTTGGGAACACAGCCCAAATCGGGTGGTGAATTACGCGTCGACCTTTTATCTAATAAATGCATCCCTTCCAGAAGTCGGAGGTTTGGTGCACGTATTAACTCTAGAATTACTACAGTTATCCGACCCATTAACATACAAGTTTGAGCATTAGTATACTTCATTCCATATTAGTAAAAGTTAAAAAATTCAAATTTTAAATATTTAAAATGAGGAGAATTTAATGATATTTTAAAAAATTTAATTTATCATACATTAATAAATAAAATGTTGTTAAAATAGGGTATGTGTAGTGTAAAAATCATCAATGTTGCAATTAAAAAGAATAGTATATACATTTTTATTTTCCCCCTAAATTCACCAGACAATAAAATTTATCCAGATTCGAGCTTGATAAGAGTCATATGCGAGATAAATATCTAATTACATATAATTTTATTAGGAAAATAAAGATAACTTCTGTTGTGTGACTTGTGTCAGATAGTAGTATTAAATAAAAATACCTTATGTTGTGAAAATAAAAATAATGTCCATAACTGATGTATTTTTGTTCCACTAGATCACAACCCAACAAGTGATGCCACTGGAGTGAAGACCGCCTGACTGCACCCGGCCCATTGTCTGACTTTTTTCCCTCGTTGAGTATTAGAGATGTTATGCAATTATGCCTTTGCTGGGCCGTCTCGAATCTAAAGCATGTAATATTTTTACGTAGCACGGAGTATGTAAATATATTATTGAATTTCTCTGTAATTTCCACAATAAAATTGTGGCAGCAAGCCAGCAACGACCAGAATAGCGGGCTGGACGTATATTAGGCAAAGTAGCACGGAAACGGGAAACAGGAAACGCGAGAAACGCAATTTCTAAAAAATATAGGATACGAAACGTGGGGGAAACGCATAAATATTATAAAATATAAGGATATATTTATAAATATTTTTTAATATACGTACCCAAGTTTTTCCATATGCACATGTTTTTTTCATATAATTTGTTTAGTAACCAAATAATAAAATCACTCTACATGTTCGAATTTAGATATTATTTCATATTAGTACATAATTAAACATAAAATGTACGGAGTAATACATTTCTAGCAATAAACATTGTATTACGAAATGTAACAAGTATTGCTGCTGAGAAATATCACAAAAATTCACTATTAAAAAAATTATTTTCCACCACAGAAACTTTAAAAAAGAAAAAAAATGGAATCCGAAGTTTCCGAAACGTAGTGAAACGGGTTTCCAAATATTTCTTAATTACGGAAACGGCCCCGAAACGGGAATTTGAAGTTTCTGAGTTTCTGAAACGCTTTCAAATTTCCGAAACGTGGAAACGTGAGCCGTGAAGAGTTTCCCCTAATATTATTAGGGGACCTAGGCCCAAATTACTTGAAAACAAGAGTTGCTGGCTTGCTGCTACAGTGCTACTCCTGGCTATATACTCTGTATGTTGTATCTAACTATTCTCATGATATTATATTCTTCTTTGTCCATATATATGTACTTACTCCGTAATCCGTATTATACTATTCTTCTTTGTCCATTTATACGAATATGTACAGTAATAGTTAGGGACCAGAATATAATACTAAGTATGTAGTAAGTATAACTTTAGAATATAAATAAGGGAAAAATACTATAATAATACTAAAAGAGGGAGGAATTCCCATTATATGACTAGAAAGCGAGTTTTACTAGAATATGACTGATAGCCACCACACACGAGTAGGATTTAGGGATAACTGCTATTTTGTAGGCTTAGGATTTAATATGCATGTGAGGGGAAGGCCGAAAAACAAGCAACAAACTAGGGAAAAAAACTACTAGGTCATACATTAGGAAATACATGATCTTTTAGTAATATGAATAATAATTTTCTCTATAAAGTACAAAAATCTGTGGTGGACTTGGAACTTTTTTCAAAGACTCAAACAGGGGCACGACAAAATGGATAGAAACGGGTCAGGTCGGGTCACGGCTAGGCATGGACCGGTTCCGGTCTAATCGGCCTGGGATGTTAGAGCTGTGCGGTTCCGGTCCTACCCTTTGGAACTGGGCCGGCCGGTCTGGGCCCGGTCCGGGCCTATATATATTTCAATTTTTTTGTTGTAGCGGGTTTGGCTGGGTGTTTGGGGGGGGGGGGGGGTGAGGGGGTTGGGCCGTTGGGGGTTAATTACAAAAGCAAAAAAAAAAAAAAAAGAACCGGCCCGGACCCGGTGGAATCCCGGGCCGGTTCCGGGCGTTCGCCCATCCATAAAAAGCTTGGTTTTGGACCGGCTCAGTCCGGAACCGGTCAATGCCTAGTCCCGGCGGTCGGCGGGTATGAGATTGGTCTATTATGTCTAGCTAGTGTAGACACTTTTTTAAACGAATATAGTTTATTGAATGCCGATTTCAAGTAGTCATGGACTTGGGCCGGTTCAGGCCCGACTCGGGCCTAGGCCCGGCCGGGCCTCGGAGTTCTGGAAGTGGGCCCGAGAACGGCCCGTGTTGTGACCGGTGCCGGTTCGGGCCGGGCCACCCGCCGGGCCGGGCCGAGGCAGTTTTAATTTTTTTTCCTACTAATTTATACAAGTGCTTATTAAAAACAAAGTTCAAGTGCATTTATTTGAAATAGAAACTACATTTGAGAATTGAGAAAAAAATTACAATATGAAATACATTTTCTAATAAATAATAATATAATATATAATATTCAGCCTTTAGAAAATTAATTGTAAGTTCTAACCAATTAATTAATTTGAGAAGTGTTACATATAAAAAAATGAACGTATATTTATTTGAAATATGAACTACAAGTTTACAATTGAGAATTCAGGAAGAAATTCAAACATGAAATACATTTTATAATAAATTGTAAAATACTAATCAATTAGAATCTCCGGCATAGCCGCATAGGTAGAGCCACCACCGGTTGTTGATTCATCCATAAAGTGTTGGGAGGGGGTGATGCTGAGTTCTTGAGTTCTACGTGCGGCCTTCAAACAATCGTGGTAGCATACAAGCGTCTCAAGAGAGTTTGTGCTCAATCTCGTTCTAGAATCCGTTAGGACGTTGCCGGCCGAACTAAATTCTTGTTTTGCGGCGACGGTTGAAACCGACATTGATAGCACTTGCTTAGCCATCCGTGCTAAAATCGGGAACATTCTTTCTTTTGCCTTCCACCACTTTAGAACGTCAAAGTCATTATTTTCTTCAAAATCAACATCATATGTTAAATACAAAGCAATCTCATTAACTGTGCTTTGTTCACTAGCGGGAGTTGTTTTTGTTTGTTTCAAAAGATTGCCAAATACAGATTTAAAAATTGATTTTCCTTTAGATGAAGATGTTCGTGTCGGGGGAGGGGAAACGTTGTTGTATTGTTCATGAAACTCATTAAATAAGGCATAAAATAAAGTACTAACCTCGTTGTATTCTTGTAAAGGATCTATGGGGTTATCGTCATACATTGGATATTCACCAAAAAAAGCAAGATAATAGAATTTCAAACATTCATGCAAATTAGCAAGTCTATAACGAGGATCAAGAATAAATGCAATACCTTAAATATGCGGAATATGTGCATAATATTTTAAAAACTTTTCTTGCATAAAATTACGAAAATAACTCACGTAAGCGGCGTTCGAAAATTCATTAAAAGCACCAGCGAGATTAACAACTTCACTAATAAATTGGTTTGACGTAGATTTATAAACATGACTAAAAGTTTCAGTTGCATTAAAAAAATATCAAAACATTCACAATTTTTTCGCAAGTGTCGATGTCAGTCGGGTTTATAATATAGTTACAATGTTGTCTTAAAAAGCAGGAAAATGATCTTTATATCTAATAAGAACTTTAATTAACTTATAAGTACTATTCCAGCGAATAATCAAATCTTTAAGAAAAGCAACATATCTCGCACCTCTTTCTATCAAATATTTTTCCCATTGTAATTTAAGTTGACTACTAGCCCAAATACGTCTAATTCCCCCCTTGACTATCTCCATAGCATCTCCTAACGCTTTTAGACCGTCTTGCACACATAAATTGAGAATATGGCATGCACATCGTTGATGAAAAAATCCACACATCAAAGTAGTAGAACCACACAATTCACACAATCTAGGTATAGCAGCAGTATTACTACTAGTATTATCAAAACCCATAGCAAACATCTTATTAATCAAATTATACTCAATTAAAATACGCTCAATCAGAATACAAATATTATCAACGCTGTGACTATCATTAAATTCACGAAAAGCAAGAACACGTTTATGCATTTCCCAATCATCATCAATATAATGTGCAATCAGATCCAAATAATGTAAATGATGATAAGTATCCTCCCATATGTCACAACAAATATTTACACGCCCATCAAAGTTTGCAAAAAAAATTTGTAACCTTGCCTTCTCCGCACCATAAAGCCTTATAATTTCTTTCTTAATCGTTTTGCGACTATAATTTCTAAATTGAGGATTTAAACTACCTTGAGCATAATCTCTTAAAGCAAGACTTTCAGCAAATAAATAAGGCAAATTTTCTTCAACAATTAAGTTAGACATACCACTCAAATTTTGTGCATCATTTTATGAGAAATCACCAAAAGGTTAGTCATTTGCATACCTCGATATTTGAGTTTGCTTCCCCTTTCCTTTGTCTAATTTTGCATACTCCACGATGTGTTTGGCCCTAAGATGCCTTGCGGCGGATCCGTATCTGCCGGAAATCCCTAAGACATAATCTTTGTGGCCCCACTTGCAAGTTGCGTGCCATTTCCCGGTCTCCGCGTCCTTCCACTTATTGAAATTATTTTCCATAAGTTCAGATTTACCTTTTTTCTTACTGGGTTGGGATGAGGCGGGCTCGTCGTCATCGTGGGTGCCGTCACCCTCGTCCTCGGCCGTCTCCGGTTGAACTTCGTCCGCATCGTCATCCTCGAGCTCTTCTTTGTCAATGGTCGTCAGGATGTCTTCTTGTTGGAAAAAGCGGTTATTATGTCGGTCCAATTCATGTTGTAGTTGCATGTCGGACATCGCATTCTCATCTCTCCGTTCGTAATCTGTTTCAAAATCATCTCGGCTTTGTGAAAAAGACCTGACATGTCGTTTACCTTTGCGTGTACTAGAATTATTCCTCCGGATCTCGTTCTTTCGGTTGCGTTGGAGGTTGCCCATATTAACCGAACTTCTACCACGATCCATCTTAAAAGATGTAACAAATATTAAAATGGAACAAATATATTATTATGAGTAAAAAAGTAATGCAACTTATTAAAACTATTTTAATGAATACTTCAATCTAACAAGTGTAGTTTAATGAAATAAAATTCTAACTAATATTTTTTTATAAAAACAATTCGAGTGAAATGTGAACTACTTTAATTAAAATGTGAATTTAACTAAAATGCTATTATTATATTAATTATAGCAAATTTCCAAGTATTTTAATTTAGTGAAAACTACTTTAATAAAATGTGAAGTACTTTAAAAAAATAATTTGAACTACTTATTTTCTTTGAAATAAAAATTGAAACTACTATAATGGAACAATTAACTAATGTACTACTTTAATAAAAAAAATGTAACAATTAAGTAATCAACTAATAATGTTAAAAAATGTAACTAATAAAACAAATGTATGAATGTGTATACTAATTAATGAGAGTAATAGAATGTATTTAAATAATATTAATTAAAGTGTAACTAATATATAATATATTGTGTATAGTAGACAATTATAAGTATGAGTATTAAATAACAAGTATGTAATAAGTAGATATTAAGTATATATAAGTATATAATATGAGTAGTACACTTATATATAATTAATATATTAATTAGATGTAATATAAGTAATATATTAGTAAATAACAAGTATATAATAAGTAGATATTAAGTATATATAAGTAGATAATTCGAAGTATATTAGTAGATATAATAATTGTATAACTAATATATAATATAATGTTTATAGTATATAATATATAAGTATATTACTATAAGATGAGTAATACACTTATATTTAATACTTTAATATATAAAGTATATATTAAGTAGATGTAATATGTATGTATTAAGTAGATAATAAGTAGAGATTAAGTAAATAATAAATATAAGTAACATATAATATATGCATTTATAAGTAGATAATTAATATACAAGTATATATAATAAATGTATAATTATTAAATAGTAAAAAAGAATGGAGAATAAGAGAATTTGAGAAAATGAATATCGAGAAATGGAGAATTGGAGATGATTAAGATTTAAGAATAATAGAATATTAGAGATTAGGAAGAGTTGGAGAAGAGGTGTAGAAAAATGTATAAAAATAGGAGTATTAATAGATTTTTTTTACCCCCACCCCACCCCAAACGCCCGGGATCCCCCCAAGACCCACCCAACGGCAGTGGCGGAACCAGCTCGGAGTTCTTAAAGGTGCCATAATAGGAAAGGGGAGGTCTATGACAAGGCGGACGGCTTGTTGTGACTTGTGACCATGGAATTCCGGACTCCGGCAAGGCGGGG